GGGAATCGGGAAATGTTATTATCCAGTGATATAATTTCCGGTATCAATTTATTAAAATTTGAACTTCGCCAGGCTTTCCCTCGGAAAATTTTCCGGCATTTTCTGACAGTTTTTTCCAACTTTCCCTTGAAGATTTCGACCGGATTCTTCGGATGGATTCTTATGATTTTTCTGGGAGGTTTCGTCCGACTTTGCATGGAGGTTTCTTCCAACATCTCCGGGAAGTTTTTAAAACTTGTCCTGGAAGAATCTTCCACCTTCTCCCGCAAATTTCTTCCATCGTTGAACGGAAGTTTCATCAACTTTCCATTTCAACAGTATCTTCAGATTACCCTCAGAAGTCTTATCTGGCTAAAGCCCGATTCAAAGTAAATTTGGACTCATTCAAGTGATCATAACTCAAGAATTAAACAACATACAACGTCAAACAAAAGGGTATTTATTCAGCTTTCAAACGATACATAACAAGTTATTACATTTCACCGTTTCGAACGAACTGTCGCACTTTACTTGTGATCAATGCCATCATGATCTGCACAGTCGCTGGTGACACTGTACCGGCGAACTTATTCCACTTTAAACGCATTTGTTGTGCATTTGTCACCTCTTTACCGCATCCTAGAAGTTTTCGCTTGATAATTGCCCAATATTTTTCGATCGGTCTGAACTCAGGGTAATTTGGAGGATTAATCTCTTTGGCGACGAAATTAACATTGTTTGCAGCATACCATTCTAGTACCTCCTAGGAGTAGTGGCAGCTGGCTAGATCCGGCCAAAACATAACGTTGGTCTTGTGTTGCCAATTGAAGGGTAAAATCCGCTTTTTCAGACACTCTTTAATGTAAACCTTCGACGTAATTGTGTGAGATGTGATGAAAACCTTGGTTTTAAGGCCACAACTCCAGATTCCTTGCCAAATCATTAGTTTCCGAGCAAACTTATCAGCAAAAACAAATTTATACCTGGAAGGGACATCCCCACGACCAGTTGACAGGTAAAATTTTCGTCCGGGGATTTGTTTATAATCCATTTTGACATATGTTTCGTCATCCATTAAAATACAGTCATCAAATTTCGTCAAAACTCGTTCGTATAGTAATCGTGCTCGCTTTTTGGCCACTAAATTTTGTTTTAGGGAGCGATTCGGATGTTTACTGGCACAAAAAGACTTATAGCATAGAGGTTTCTAAGACTAGTAGGTCCCGAAGAAACGTGCTCAACTTTTTCGCTCAGCTCTGGTAGTCTTTTCGGTCCCAAGCTAATCGATTCACCCCTCGAAACATAGGAAAATCAACGAACCCCTCATTTTATCTGTCAAACTTTCATAGCGAACCAAAACAAACATAGTGTAGTACTGGAATTTATACTAGAATGGGGTACGGTAATCGATTTGCTTGGGACCAATAGGCTAGTCAAGTAGTGAACCAATTTAAAATCGTTAGTTTCCACCGGTTACTTATATTCTTCTCTTGAAAGGATGTTAGGCACGGTGGAAAAGTTGCAATCGTATTTCTTTGCCAAATCACGTATGGAGACACCTGGGTTGCTTTTCATGTACCTCAACACCTTTCTCCTCAGCTCTTTGTCCCTAGTGGCACTTTTATGATAGATACGCTGTGCTCTATCCACACTCAGAGTATCCTTGTAACGTTTGATTGCAAGACTCACCGTTGACTTTGGGAATTTCAACACTCTTGCTATTTTTGAGGCAGACCACTAAGGGTTCTCTAGATGTTTGTGCACAATTAATTTTCTTTTCTCAAGTTCCATGATCCGTAATTTCGGGATGCGTCGATCAATCGAGACACACTTTTCACCAATTTCTTCGTCAATGAAACATCAACAAATGCCTGTCAAACGTTTTTTGTTCCAACCACCAGGAGCACGGTGGTGTATTAAACCGTGCATCCATATCGAGGGGGACGACTCTATCTACGATGCAGGAAAGATTATGTTTTGCTGTGGCTAGCTGCGCGCACGCTGAGTAGATAGAAAGAAGATTGACGACGATTCTGAAGATTTCCTGCAAAAAGATGATGCGCGATGCAAGTAGATGCGAGAAATGAAAGAAGATTTTTCGAAGATCGATTCGCTAGTGTGAGATTTGTTGAGCATCTAGACTTGAGATTTAGATGTGTCGCCCCCCTCGGTCCAGATTTACTTTGAATCAAGCCTTACCACTGGTAGTGGAAATTATTTTCCATTTCAGCAGGACTTCCCATGGAAAACTTTTCTGAATTATTCTGAAAGTTTCATCCGGCTGCCTAAATTTGCTTTGGGCTTTTTTCAACTTTTCCAGGAAGACTCTTCCAACTTCACACAGGAATTTCTCAAAAATTGTTTCAAAAGCGTTTACCGGTGTAGCATGGCAGATTCTTTGCCTGGAAGCTTTCCTGACTTCGCACTAAAGATTCGTCAAATTTTCTCCAGAATTATAAATAAAACTGTTTCCCGGGAACAAAAACTTGTTTCCCGGGAGTCGAAAAATGATAGATCTGATAAATTACACGGGTAAGGGCAACGCTAGGTGATGTGGTTTCACGACCAAGGGATGTGTAATTTGGTCAAATGTTTTCAGAAGATTATTTTTAGCTCATGAAAATTAATACTCAATCTCACGAAATCGGTCAAAAATATTAATAATTATGGATCAGCAAAATTATATTTGCAAGCCTCCATAACGTTAGGGTTAGAGTTAGGGTCAACCATCTACAGAAACTTCCGTTGTTGAATTTTCATCGTCTGTTGGTGTTGTGATGATCCATATATAGCACAAAATGAACATTGCTGAATGCGGTCTTTTATTGGGATTGGCCATCCGAATCCGTACCATGCGGTTCCTAACGTTTGCACTGCTCGAACGTCGTCGGCTGCAAAGCAAAACTTCTCTGACTGTTCCGTTAGGTCACCATAAATTTTCCATCGATTTTGAGGGGCAGCTTGTAGTTCCTTTCGTACACGGGCAATACGAAATTGCCCTCCCATTGCCGAAATATCCTCCTGGTTTAGCATTGCAAGCGCAGTTACTCAGAGTTACTCAAAATAAACTCAGATTTTACTCATGATCAAAAGCTGACTTGCCTCAAGGAGTAGCACGGAAACTAGTCCGATAGCAGTGGGCTCTGCTCACTGTTGAACTTGATCAAGCTTAATAACCTCTGATTGTCTTCAGCAAATCGCTGTATGAAGGGCCAAAAACGAATGTATGGATTAATAGGCAATGCACCTATTCATTTCCTTATACCCCGTTCACATTACAGCATATATCACGTAATATAGGCTGTCTTGCAATGAGCACTCATACATAGGATTTCCAGTGGAAACTTGATGTATGAGTTATATCTGAGTAAAGATTCAAAAAGAAATGTTTGAGAATATTATAATAAAAAATCACGCTGAGCGAGGGCCATCAGGGCACCCATTTGAAGAGATTTGGATGGGGAGAGTGGAGATGTCAACTCCCTGTTGCTAACATTTCGTGGATAAAGGACGTGCTCTTCTCCCCGTTCATAAGGTTATCTTCCTGTTGGATGGCTCCTTTTCTGACCAATTGACTGTTCATGTTATTGGAAGGAGATTCTTAACTGTCCTAATACCCCGTTCACATTACAGCGTATATCACGTGATAAAATTTCTTTTCGAATCTTTACAAGATATCGCATATCCCGTGATATACGCTGCAATGTGAACGGAGTATTAGGACAGTTAAGAATCTCCTTCCAATAACATGAGCAGTCAATTGGTCAGAAAAGGAGCCATCCAACAGGAAGATAACCTTATGAATGGGGAGAAGAGCACGTCCTTTATCCACGAAATGTTAGCAACAGGGAGTTGACATCTCCACTCTCCCCATCCAAATCGCTTCAAATGGGTGCCCTGATGGCCCTCGCTCAGCGTGATTTTTTATTATAATATTCTCAAACATTTCTTTTTGAATCTTTACTCAGCGTTTATTTCAGAATTCTTCTAAAATAAGATTGAGATTCTCTCTGAGAGTCCATAAAACAATATTTATAATAGTCTAGAAATTTTCTGCAGATTCATCCAAAGTGAAAACCATGAAATTCGTCCTTATATTTTCTTCAAATTTTACAGCTTTTCTAGGAATTCGCTGAAGATTCCTGCTAGAATTCTGCTCAAAATTCGCTTTAATTCTCATTTAAATTCCCAAACAATTCACTTTCGAATTGTATTGAAATTTTGTTCAGAATTATCTTGGACTTCTCATCTAAATTCTTCTGCAGTTTTGCTTGGAAGTTTCCTTAAAATTCTATAGAAATTCATTTCGTGATGCCTTTGGAATTATCTACGGAATTTGCATTAAATTATCATCAGAATTTCTTTGGAATTTTACGCCCAAAATTAGATTTACTTGGTATTTTTCACGGATCCTGGGATCCTCTTCACAATTGATTTATTTTAGAGAAGTCCTGAAAAGAACATTCCAAAGTTCAATCTCATTCGGTTTTATGCTTTATTTAAATGTATATCGTACAGCCGAAAGAATTTCCAAAATTCCGGGAAACAAACGAGAATTAAAAAAAAAAACAGGAAATAGTCAATCTGAATTTGCTGGTAACCATGTAAATTTGAAAAATACTTATGCACTTTAACCGAAATTTCAATTTCAGTTTAATTACTCATTTGACTTATTGACCCCTTCGGCCTAATAGCATCCCGCCTGTTGGCATCTGACCTAATATTCTATCTACAAAAAAATCCCCCCCCCCTCCCCGAATGCTGGCTACGCCCTTGAAAATTAGCGCTTATTAGCAGATGAGATAGGAAGATTACATATCTACTCAACTATCTTGTAACGAACCAGAAGATGCCTTACACGGTGTATTTGATAACGGCTTACCCGACGCATATTGGCCCTGCCGTAAGCAAATTGTTGTCTCTTGTGAAGACGCTAAGCTCAGATAACCGAACACTGTACTCATTTATTCCATTAAACCTTACTTAAGCTGCTCCTTCTTTTTCTTCCGCCCCAATCACAGGAACTCTGGTCTACGTCATCTTCGGCACGGTCAAGGAGGTCTCCATCGGACCAACGAGCCTGATGGCCCTGCTAGCCGTCCAGTATACGATGGACAAACCCATCCAGTACATGATCATTCTGGCCTTCCTAGCTGGCCTAGTTGAACTGCTCATGGGCGTCTTCAAGCTGGGCTTCCTGGTCAGCTTCATCCCAATTCCCGTCACGTCGGCGTTCACCTCTGCCACCGCACTGATCATCGTGGGAACCCAGCTGAAGCACCTCTTTGGAATCCCGTCGAAAGCGCGAGGATTTTTCCAAACCTTGTACAGTCTGGCCACCCAGGTCATGGAGACCAATCCTGGAGATCTGATTCTCGGAGGTTTCGCCATCGTGTTCCTACTGGCTCTGCGACAGATTACAAAACTTCCAATCAAAGACGATACACCACGAGGTAAGGCTTTGAAGAAGTTCCTCTGGTATCTTAGTTTGTCAAGAAACGCATTGATCGTACTGATTACATCGGCCATTGCCTTCAAATGGCACGGCACCGGAGCGGAGGTGCCTTTCAAACTGTCCGGTCACGTAAAACCGGGCATTCCAGGATTTGAGCTACCGATCTACAACGTCCAGTCGGGGAACGAAACCATTACGTACTTTGAGGTCGTCAAAGACTTGGGAAGCAGTCTTATTCTGGTACCGCTGGTAGCGGTCCTAGCTAACGTATCAATTGCCAAAGCATTCAGTAAGTTCTGTTCGGATATAAAATTTCGATTCTTGACGATTTTTACAAACTTCCAACATTTCAGCCGCCGGGAAGATAGTCGACGCATCGCAGGAAATGATTGCCCTGGGATTGTGCAACATTCTGGGGTCCTGCTTCAGTGCGATGCCAACGTGCGGTGCGTTCACCCGATCGGCCGTCAGCCATTCCAGTGGCGTTCGGACGCCGTTGGCTGGTATCTACTCGGCCGTCATGACACTGCTGGCGTTGAGTTTACTCACTCCGTACTTCTACTTCATCCCGAAGACGACTCTGGCCGCGGTTCTGATCTGTTCGGTGGTCTTCATGATTGATTTCAGCATCGTGAAAGTCCTCATGAAAGCATCCAAAACAGACATCCTCGCGTGGGGTGGTTGCTTCTGTGTGAGTCTGTTCGCCGGAGTTGAGGTGGGTCTGCTGTTCGGGATCTTCATCAGCATAGTCGGTCTGCTGAAGGTTTGGGTGCGGCCAACCATTCAACAGGATTCGATCGAAAACAAAGGAGTCCAATACGTAAAACTCAGCCCGGAGACGGGAATCTTCTTTCCTGCCGTGGATTTCCTTCGAACGAAGGTGATCGAGGTGGCAAACGAGCGGAAGGTTCCGATCGTGGTGGACTGCACATCGGTGATAGGACTGGATCATACCTCTACCAAGGGTTTGAAGGAGCTGGCAAACGAACTGATAAAGGTGAAGCAAAAGTTGATTTTACTTAATCTTAGGCCCTCGTTGAGGAAAACACTCCAGGAAGGTGACTCGGAGATATTCGTCTTCTGGGAGGACGAAGGTGATATGGGTGTCAATAATAGCAATGTTGTTCAAAATATGTCTTGAGAGAGATGCTTGCTCTCGGGAGATGCCATAGCTGTGAAAATTTATGTGTAAGAAATAAATGATGATTGTGCCGTAGGTTACCTCTATCTCTAATAGATAATTCAAAATCCAATGTTTATAAGCTTCATAGGTCGAACGTTTATCGTGAACAAAAGGTTTATCCTGTTTATCCTCGGGAGTCTTTCTCTACCTCGCAACACTCTTCCGACCAGTGATGCCAACAGTTCAGTTTAAACTGGATTATGCATGTTTTGAGAATTCATCAAGTTTTATGATTTAAGTATAAATTAGGATGCTTTTGAACTTCTAAAGGATCAAACCTAAAAAGTCCGAACACGAAAATCTTGTTGAGGTTTAAAAATGCGTTTTATTTTTCATAGTTCAATATAACAGCCATACATTAGTCGGTATTATGCTTACTGTAAGACCATTGTTTCAGCCTTCCTCCTTACCGGATCCATGTCCTTGGGAACCACTGTGATGCCATTTCCGCTGTACCACTGTTTGGTGGAATTTGAGTTGTGGCAGCTTGCCAAGTCCGGCCAGAATAGGCAATCCACCTCATGCTGCTTCAGAAAAGGCAGTAGTAAATTTTCTGGTTCATGGTCCCAGAAGTAACGAAAGTTTCGCTTTTCTACCCACAACTGCAGATTCTTTTTGATTTTACATTCTTCCGGTCAACCGAGGTATAAAATTCTTGCCCAGGAATTTGATCGAAAACTGCCAGGAGCGGATAGACCAGGATTTTCGTTTCGAGCATGCAGGATCGAATCGCGACGTGCTTGCTTCGCTGAAGCCATGATGTAAACAAATGAACTTATCATGAGAACCAATGCCTACTGCGATTCTATACGCTCTTAGCTTGATTCAGAGAAATTTTGAAAAAAATGCTCAAAAAAATGTCTTAATGGCAGCGTTTTTAATGTGTTCGGATATTTTCGTGTTCAATCTTTAAATCTGGAAATGTAATATTTATTACCAGTCATAGTACCATACATGCAGAAAGGAGAGGCGATGCTGCGAACAAGCTTGCTTCACGACAACGGGACCCGTACCGATACCCATTCTGGATAATACGCTTAACCAAACGCTAATTCACGGCCAGATTCCTATGGTGCAAAATCGTAAAAACAGCGCTTTCACCTCCAAAATTATGTAAGTTAATTTCATCGCAATTGCAATACTAAAACTTTACTGAAAAGCTAATTTTCCAAGCTAACCAGATTTACAATGAAGACCTAGAATACTCAATAAAGTCAGTCTATGCTTGCTGTCAAGGCAATGCTTGTCTACGTTTCTTTAATCATTATTCAATCATAAAAGAGCCACTCCAAGCAATCAAAGAAAAAATCCACCCAAGCAAGACCATTATATTAAATTCTCATTTAGTTTATTCCCTCAGGCTTTTAAGGTTCTACAAAGGGTAGGTAATTTTGTGTTCTTCTGCTTTTTTAAATATCATTCAATCATCATCATTAGTTTGCACATACATTCATACATTATGAATACGAAAATCTAAAACATATATTTCATAATTTTAGATCGAAAATTACTTGTGTTCTTCGAAGTAAACGACTGCTTTACAAAACTCTTGGTGAACAAATTTATCACAAAGAAAACCACTTCAACTTTACTACTTTGCTAGCAATCGTGAAAGTATCATTGAAACAGCGGTGCCAGATGTATTGCCTCTAGCAATGAATTTAAGTTTATTGAAACAAGTAATTGCGAAATTTGACTCATCAACATAGATGAGTGGATGTATTTAATGATGAATAAATATCAAAAACTGAATAAATCAAACAAAAACGACCATTTTAGACATTTTACCGGTCCACTTAAAAAAAGTCACCGAAGATTTAATTAAACGCTAACAGGAAAGATGGCAGCAGTGCACGTAGCCTGTGATTCGCTTTCCCTCTCATGGCGGTAAGCTCCAACTCGGATCAACATTTCATACCGGTCCTGATTGAAGGATGCGCCAAATGTTTGTTAAGGATCGTATTGATTAACATTGACATCGACACCATAATAGCTTGACATTCGTGATCAGGATTTAATCCGAGGTCGATTAAATGACGGTTGGAGCTTCCCACCATCAGGGGTGTAAACACAATCTCATACAGCGAGGTCTGGAAATATGATTGTTTTGGTAGTAGGTAGTATCACGTCACATTTGCTGTTGTAGTGAAATGAAGGAAGAAAAGAGATGGTTAAACTTTCCTCACCATACCTTAAGGTTCTACAAAGGGTAAATAATTTGTCTACTTCTCTTTAATTCACTCGTAGTTCTCCACCAAGATGATGCCGATTGGGATCATACCGGCGATAACGCATTACTGCCTGCATCGAAATGGTTCTGTACGCACTCACAACTCGCATGGCCATGAGCCGGAACGTACTGCTCAATTTCCTTTGGTTCTGCTTCGTTTTCAGCGCTTCAATCCAGACTGGACCTCCATACCTTAGTATCGATGAGGACACACTAGCCAGAAGACGCCTCTTGCTGCTGCTTGGTCCAGAGTTGTTCGGCATGATTCTAGCTATCGCATGTCTATTGAAGCTTAGTCGGTCATCGAGTATCACTCCAAGATACTTCAGTACGCGCTTCGAAACAATGGTGTGCTCTCCAACGGTGATTTCTGCCTGCTGCACTGCTTTGCAGTTACTGACCAACATCACTTCTGTTTTCTGGTGGGCTATCTGCAGCTTCGCTCCTTGCATCCAGTTACCAATCGTATCTATCACCTCGGCCGCCAGCATTTCCACTTCTTCCAGCGTCTCACCGGTTACCGTCAAGACGACATCGTCCGCAAAGCCAACGATCTCAACTCCTTTGGGCAGCTTGAGCGTCAGCACGCCATTGTACATTCCATTCCACAGCGTGGGACCTAAAATGGAGCCTTGTGAAAACTCCCGCCGTGATTCTAAGCGATTTCTACCCCGTGTCTGTCGCGTAGACCAGGACCCGGTTCTGGAAGTAACTTCTTAGAATCCTGCAGAGTTAGTCTGAAACCCTCATTCTATCGAGCGCCTTGGCAATGGCCTCCCAGCTGGCGCTATTGAATGCATTCTTCACATCAATCGTAATCACGGCGCAGTATCGATATCCTCTCCGCTTCTGTTTGGAAACTTTCTGGGCTCTGTCAATCACTGTCCGAATTGCATCCAGCGTCGAAAATCCCTTTCCGGAATCCAAACTGCCTCTCCGACAATCCGTGTTCACTCTCCGTGCATTTCGTCAGCCTGTTCAGGATAATCCTCTCAAAGAGCTTTCCGACAGTATCCAGCAAGCATATTGGCCTATACGATGCAGGATTCCCCGGCGGTTTTCCGGGCTTCGGCAAGAGCACAAGCTTTTGTACCTTCCACCTATCAGGGAACTGACCCTCGTCCAGACATTTCTGCAGCACCATGCTGAACATGTCCGGGAACGTCTGGATTTCCACCTTCAACGCCACGTTGGGAATTCCATCCGGGCCGGGAGCTTTATTCGCCTTCAACCCTTTCGCTGCTGCTATGAGTTCCTCGTTGGAGACTTGTTCAACGTTGTCTTCATCTTCCTCGCCATATGGTGTAGGTGGCCAGGTCGTTGGGTCATGCTGTGGGAAAAGTCCCTCCACGATGACTTTCAGCTTGTTGGGACACATTTCAACCGGCATCGTTGGACCTCTGATCTTCGCCATCGCGACTCGGTATGCGTTGCCCCAGGAGTTGCCATCGGCATCGCGGCACAGCTCCTTGAAACTATTTGACTTGCACAGCTTTATCTTTCGTTTCAGTGCAGCCCTGGCCTCTCGGAACACCACCCTGCGCTCCTCTCTGTCTGCTTCTGGTCTTGCTCTCTGAGAACGCCTTCTGGCTAGAAGACAAGTAGCACGGAGGGTGCTAATTTCCTCGTTCCACCAGTAAGCTGGACGCCGCCTGTTCGTTGGCTCCAGTTTTCTCGGCATAGTTGTGTCACATGCCCTTGCTAATGATTCGGTCAACTCGTTCGCGCTTAGGCCAGGGACGCTGCTGTCTATCCTTAGAGCTTCGATGAAGAGATCCTTATTGAATGCCTTCGTCTTCCACTTCCGCTCGCTTACTTTCGTCATCCGCATTTCCACCGGTGTCCGTTCGTCGATACTGCACCGGATCGCCTGATGGTCACTATGGGTGTACTCTTCGCATACTTTCCAGTTCATATTTGCCATTAGCGACGTACTGCAGAAAGTGACGTCGATAATGGATTACCTACCATCTTTGCGGAAGGTGCTGATGGTTCCTTCGTTGGCCAGACCGACGTCCAACTTTGCCAGAGCTTCCAGCAGGCTTTACCCTCTTGCGTTGGTACATCTGCTTCCCCAGTCCACTGCCCAAGCATTGAAATCTCCTGCGATGACGACTGGTCTCCGTCCAATGAGCTCTCCGGTGAGCCCATCTAGCATCTGGTGGAACTGCTCAATTGTCCATCTCGGGAGTGCGTAGCAACTACATACATAGATTCCATTGTTTTTGGCGATCATGAAACCTTCGTATGAGCCCGCCACCACTTGTTGAATGGCCGCCATTCCTGCGCTATCCGCCACCCAGTTACCATTATTGAGGGACTTGATATCGCTCTGCAATGATAGCAACGTCGCACTTTGTTTCCGTTGTCGACTACCACAACAGTTGCTGTGCTGTGTTGCAATGATTGAGATTTATTTGGGTTACCTCCATTATTGCTGGCCCACCATCGCCTTCTTGAACTCTGGGCACCTGAAACTTCCCGTCACATGACCGTTTCCGTCCTCCTTTTTGCAGAGCATGCACCTGGGTTGCTTTGTACAGTCTTTTGCAACGTGTCCTTCTCTCCGCATTTCCTGCACAGATCAGATCTGTCAGGACCTTTGCAGTTTCTCGCCTGGTGACCGAAGCCCATGCACTTGTAGCATCTCTCCATTTTCTTAGATACCCAAGGATTAGCTTTCAACGGGCACACTGACCACCTGTCTTCAGCAGCTCGTTAGCTGCGTCCGAAGAAAGTCGTATCGACGCCGTCTGCGTTCCACCATACGCCTTCCTCAACCGAATTGCCATCG